ACAGTGCTTTTCCAATTTGGCACCTCTCCTCGGATCTGCACATGTTGACACAGAGAGCTGAGGGCAGGCAGAATTACCCCTGGCTGAGGCTGGGCAGTTCTTCAGAAGCTTTCCAGTCCCACTTCCGGGAGTTAGCTTGCAGGCAAAGTGTAATCCTTTCATCAACATGACGGCCCTTCCCTTGCCCTGCGCAAGGGTGCATGTGCGCTGGCACATTCCAAAGAGGCACACGTTTCCTCTCTCCCCCCATAGCTGCCCACTCACATGGCTGCAGAAACTCTGGCAGACTGCCCTGGTTTTGTTTGAAGTACAAGTGATGGTTGCAGGGGGGGGGCAGGCTCTGTGGCTTGTTCGTGATTATCTGTGTTTACCTAGTTTCTAAGTTCCATGCATATAAAAGGGGTTGGCATTCTTCCCTGGCTGTGGCTGACTTTCAGGTTAAAAACCTGTCCTCCGCCGAGCTCCACCCAACTGGGGGCACCAGTTTCAGCCAAGGGATCTGGCTGCTTTCTTTGAACCAGCTATAAACAGGCGCCCCTTTCAAATTCCGGGAGGGGCGATCCCTGTCCCTGGCATGAGCCAGGCCATGGTCGGGTTTTAACCCATTTATCTGACCCAGCCCAGCTGAACAACCTGTCTGCTTTACCTCGACAGCGGGCACACACCTGTGCCCTCCAGCATCAGGAGTGGCGGGTGGAGGCACCCGCACCATCCTCACAGCCCATTTGCTTGCTTGCTTCCACGCTCCTTCTGAAGTCAGAGTGTGGGAAAAAGAGACCTGCTTTCCTACACACCCAAGAGAAGAGCCTGGAGCAGTTTGCCGTTCTGCGTCGCTCGAAACCTTGTCGGGTTGATCTCACAAAACTGTGTGTGGCTATTTCATTCGGCTGGCTGGGAACTTGGAGCCTCCTCTGAAGAGCACAGTCTAGGGAGCTGCCCTCAAGCGCCACCGTGACCACACCACACACGAGCATGTGCAGAGGAAGAGTTGCCCAATTAGAAGTGTGGAGCACGAGGGGTGGCTTGTCATAAAATGGCAGGCGACAGACATTGAGAACAGACTTCTGGGATGTCGTGGGGGTGGGGGAAGAAAAAGGAGGGCAGGCCTTTTGCAAAGACCTCTGCCCCTCTTTTGGTGTCTGGGACACTCTGGGGTGGTGCTGGGGTGGTACTGGCGGAGTGGTCACCCTAACCCCCTGAAGGGTAGCTTGTCTGGGAAAGGCCGGTGTGGGGCATGACTCTTTGGTGTCTGAAGGGTAGCTGCTGTGCCTTCTCGGCAGGTGGGCTTTGTGGAGGAAGAAGCCTTTCCGGCCCGACCGGCAACGGAGCCAGGTTGGGAACATGGGCACAGGTGGTGCTGCCTGGATTCTTAGAGCGTTGCCTTGTGCATTTCTCGGCGGGCAGAAGGCTGTGGGAAACTTCTGCTTCAAGCTTGTAGCTGCATTCTGTTCCAGTGACGGGCATACACTCCTGGCAGGAATTGGCAGCTGCCAGCGGGCGGGGTAACCCCTCATTCTGCCCTTTCACTTAGAGGTAGAGCATTAGATTAAAGGGTTATTTCAGCCAATCCTGCTTACGATTAGATAATTAGTGTCCTATCTGAATTCTCACAACATACTATGTAACTCGTGCTAAGTTAATAAAGGGAGCTCTCAGGGTGTTGCCAGTTGGCTCCGCTGGCTCGGACATCTGTGGTCGACGACTCTGTTCTCTCTGTAAGGCCATTAGCCTTCCTTTGTTCTGTGATCTCCCACAGAAGGCTTCCAAACCGTTTGGCCAGAGGGCTCCTCTGTGTCGTTCTCTCCCTCGAACCCTGACCTGAAATGTGAGAAGTCCTTTTCAGTCAGTGCAAGACCCTCCACGCGATGATATGGTTGGCGTCAAGTCCATACCCGTGCCTTGTCTCCCTCCTCCTCCTGCCCTTCGGCCTCCACAGGGAATTGATGGGAAAGGTGTATATTACTCGAAGCGTTTTTCTACTCTCCTTGGCCACAAAGATCCCTAGAGCAGCTCTGGATAGGGTTGCTGCCCTTGCGCTGACAGGGGAAAAGGAGGAAAGGAGCGAAGAGGAGAGTCGAGCTGTTCTCCCCCCCCCCCCCCGAAAAACCACCCTTTAGCTGGGTTGGTAGCCTGGCAGTTTTTCTCCCTCTACTCGAAGAGTTACTAGTGGGGACAAACGTGACGATCCCTGTTGATTGTCTGTTGCTGGTCCTGCATCTGCTGCTGTAGAGACGGGCCAGTTGTGTGTGGGGGGGCCTGAGGGGGGGAGAGAAGAGGCCAATGTGTTGTTTATCTGTGTTTAGCAGACCTAGGTCAGCCTATGTAGGTCCCTGGGGATTCAGCTCAGCTCAGTTTGGGCCCATAAAATGTCTGGAGCGGTTAAAATGAAAAAAATAAATAAAATAACTTGTATAGCGAAAGTTGCAGTCAAGATAGAAAGGCATCAGCTCCATATCTAAGTGAAAGGAAGGTGTGTGCTGTGCATCTGGGCGCACAACTGAAGGAGAGACAGGAGACCAGGTCTTTGCAGAAGTGAGAAAGGAAGTCAGAATGTGTCCGGAGGTGTCCGTCAGGAGCCCCTGAGAAGATCTGTCGTCCGGGGTGGGTGGGAGGGAGCAGAGATGAGAGGTCGAGAAAAGGGGCAGAGTCGCCTCTCCTGACATCGACTCCCAAGCCCTTTCTGGTCTTTGGGACAGAGATGACATGTGAAGCTCTCCAGGCCAACCCTCTGAAGCTCTGCAGCCCAGAACCCACTCCCTTCCATCACGTGCCCCCCCCCCTTGCAGGGTTTCTTTCCCTCCTGGACTGTGAAGCCTCCAGGCGCCTTGTCTGAAATCTTGACCCATTTTCAGTCTGGCTTCAGACCTGGTTCTAGAGACAGCTCTTTCTGTTCACCTTATGGCAGGAATTGGGCAAGGGGCGCATGTCCCGGTGGGTGGGTTCTGCTGGACCTCTCAGCGTGCTATCGAGCACGATCTCTTTTCTGGGGTGCCTTTTTGGGACGCTTCCTCAGAGGTGCTGTTTTACGGTGGTTCTAGTTAGAGATGGGCACAAATCTCCAATCTGAGGTCTGTGCCAGTTTGTACGTGTGGCACGACAGGAGGGGCTGCACATTCTCTTCCCCCGCCTCCCTGGCTGGAATCCCCCAGTGACCAGCTGGCATGGTTCCTCTCCTCCTCCTCCTCCTCCTCGGTGGGACAGGAGGGGCTGCACATTCTCTTCCCCCACTTCCTCCCTGGCTGGAATCTCCCAGTGACCAGCCGGCATGGTTCCTCTCCTCCTCCTCCTCGGTGGTTCAGCCAGTCTCCGGCAGGAGCATGGGCTCCTCCCCTGCCTTGCCTTCTTGACCGATCGCCCACTCAGGCAAGGAAGCTGGGCAGGCCAACCTGTGCTCCTGCCCGGGGGGGGGGGTTGGTTGAACACCTGAAGAGGAGGAGGAGGAGGAGGAGGAGGGGAGCATGCTCCAACTGGTGAGTGGACCATTGGCTGGGGAGGTGGAGGAAGGGGACACATGGCACGAACCTCCGAACTGGGGTGCGTGCCCATCTCTAGTTCCAGTTTTTTTCTGTGTGGCCAAACTCAGACGGTGGTGTTATGTTTATGTGAATCCTGTTCAACAGCCAGGCCAGGACCCTCAGTCCTGTTTCATTTATTTTTTTTATTTATTAAATTTATATCTTGCCCATTTAGACAGCGTCTACTCTGGGTGGCTAACAATAAAAAAAAGACCAAAAACAATCAAATAAATCAAAGAACAATTTAACAACAAATACAATATCATTCAAGATGGGAAAATAGAAATCAAGCGGTGACAGGAGGGAAGGCCTGCCTAAATAGCCAGGTCTTGAGTTGGCTCTTAAAAGCACCCAGCGAGGAGGCCAGGCAGATCTCGGGGGTGGGGGGAGAGACTGTTCCAAAGGTGAGGGGCCACTGCCGAGAAGGCCCGGTTTCTTGTTCTTTCTTTCCGGGCCTCCCTCGGCATTTCCTATGCTATTCAGCACCTACATGAAACCTCTGGGGGCAGCTTTGGGGTTTGGTGCCGTCAGAATGCTGGTGACACCCGACTCTCTCCTTCCCACCTGATTCCAAAGAAGCTCTTCTGTGCTTAGATCAGGGTCTGTTGTCGGGCATGGACTGGATAAGGGCTAACCAACTGAAACGTAATCCAGACAAGGCAGAGGGACGCTTGGCAAATCAGAGGTGTGTGTGGGGGGTCACACTCCTCCTGAAAAGTGAGGTCCACCGCTTGCGTGTCCTCCTGGACTCCACCCTGAGCTTGGGTGCACAGGTTTCAGCAGTGGCCAGGAGTGGATTTGCACACTTAAACATGGTGTGCCGGCTTTGCCCATTCCTTGAGATACCTGATCTGGCCTGCCTTAGTTACATTCCATTTGGACTACTGCAACGTGCTCTGTGTGGGCCTGCCTTTGAAGATTGTTCAGAAACTTCAGCTCGTTCAAAATGCTGCAGCCAGGCTGGTTACAGGGAGCATGTCACTCCCTTATTACAACAGCTTCGCTGGCTGTCAGTCTGTTTCCGGGCCTGATTCAAAGTGCTGGTTAAGTAACCCCACTTTTTAAGATCTTCTGGGGAGGCCCTTCTCTCCGTTCGAGAGAGGAGCTTATTGGGGGGGGGGCTGCTCCCAGGCTTTGAAATGCTGTCCCGAGAAGCCAGGTTGGTCCCCCTCTCTCTTGTCGTTCCAGTCATCTGGCAAAGACCGTCCTCTTCAGGCAGGCTTTTCAGCAGTAAGTTATCTCAGAAATGCTGATTTTTTAACTTACAGGTTTTAAATTGCTTTTTAATTGTTTTTAACCTTGGTTTTTTTCTTTAGTTTTACTGTATGTTTGTTTCTTTTTTTAAAATGCATTATTTATGTAGTGCTTCTAAAAAGCCTGTTGTTTTATCTGTTGTGAGCTGCCTTGTGTCTGCTGTGGGAAGAAAGGTGGCATATAAAGAAGCAAACAAATAAGCAAGATGTTCTGATTTTTTTACTTTTTTAGTTCGCCAGTTTCTCCAGAGTGGCCTTGACCCTAATCTGTACAATGAAGATGGCCTTACTGCCTTGCACCAGGTGAGTCAAATGCTTGCAGGCTCTGTCTTCTCCGTTCCTCTGGGTCAGCCTCTGGGAGACAACACTTCACTTGGTCTGTCTCCGTGCTTAAATCTATCCTCCTGCCAGTGCAGCAAATCAGCTGTTACCGTACGAGAGAAAGTCCGTTGCTCTTGATAAGTGGCGATCCAGGTGCTGTGTAAAATCCTCAGAGGGGAGACAGCCTTTCGCTAGTGCTCTTGCAATTCCCTATCTGGTCATCATCCCAACGGGTTCCGTTCGCATCATCCTCAGGAGCATTCCCCGTGTGACATCCCTTCAAAAATCTGACTCCTTCTCTAGGCACCACGGAAGCCGTGGCCCCAGCCAGTCTTGTGCGTCTTTCTCCGTCTCTGCCCTTGCCCTCTGTGGCTGAGCCCTTGCAAGCTCTTCTGGGCCTTGGCTGCGATTTGAAAATGCAACGGGTGCAGCCTGTGTGGAAGGGCTGGCACACCTTTGCAGTCCATGCCTGGTGACTTTTTCCTTTGAAGCAGCTGCAGTGGGTTCCCGTTGGCCTCTGCTGGGCAAACTCTTGGGGTCTCTGTGTGACACTTGCCACAATCTTTGCAAAGCCTAGGTCGGAGGGGCTTTGAATGTTGACACTCCCCCCCCCATTAAATCTTTGTGAGGTGGGCAACCCTGTGCTTTGCAGGCCTTGCAGCACAGTTCAGATGAGTGGGGACGAAACACTAAGCTTCTTGAGGGCCCTCATGGCGATCCAGCAGAAGCGCCTTTCCTGACCAAGCATCCAGGCATTAACTTTTCCTGCCGGTGTGTTGTTTGAGGACTCTCCGGCGGGTTTTGTGGCCTGGCATACCTGGAGGAAGAGGGCCAGCTTTGAGGAGGCTGTGTAAGAGGTTGCCTGGAGAGTTCCACAACACAGCGCCTTGGAAGAGAAGCTAGACTGGCTGGGGTGGCCTTGTGGGAAGGCAGGCCTCTGGTTTTCAGGAAAAGAAAAAGGGAGAGAATGGTAGGGGATTGTAAAAAACCCAAGGGCCACATTGGGGTCGGGTAGGGGCTGCGCTCAGAGGATGCACCCACACGGGTGCTGCCCTGTCCTCAAGTCTGCGTTGCCTCAGGGCTGACCATTCTGGGTGGGAGTCCGGAGGTGGGGCTGGGGTCCAGATCCAGTTCTTCCTATCCCTGCTCAGTCAGGTTGTGCCGATGCACCATCCTGTGGCGTTTGCTGCTCCTGGCCATAATAAGGAGCTCTGGCCGGCCTGCCTCCAGCCAACTTCTCCTTGGTCCCCCCACCTCCCCATCCCCTCGCGGTGGTTCAGGAATGCCTGGGCCTCCAGACGAGGTGCTCCAGGCGCTCGGGAGGCTTCTTTTTGCTGATCCCACCCCATCCCACCCACCCCATGCTGTGAACGTCTGCCAGAACGGTTCCCTGCCGAGCGAGCCTTTAATTCCAGCCACTTCCAGGCTGGCAGAAGGAAGGGCTGCATCAGGGTGGGCTTAGGACGGTGCCCAGTGAAGAGTCCTCTTCTCCAAGTGGGGGCCGGCAGACCCACCAGTCCAGGTTCCCAGCACACAATGAACCCTTAGGGAGTTTCTCTTTCTGTTCCATGTTGAGGGAGGAAGAAGGAGACGGAGTTTGGCTGTGGGCTTTTTCCTGCCTTGCTAGGGCAGGTCAGACGCAGAATCCTCCAGGCCCCTCTCTCCTTTTGGTTAGGTGGGGAGCTCCGGAGCCATCCCAGGGACACAAGGGAGGGTCTTCTGTCAATGCTACACCTAGTAAGGTGCTGCCACGTCCCCCCCCCATTTACCCAGCATAGCTGTGGACCAGTTGGGGAGCCTCCCAGCACCAGTGGGAGAGCAGCCATCTCTGGTTGAGCCCATTTCAGGGGTGGCTGCCGCTGTGCGCGCGCTGCTGCCTGGCACATGAGGCAACTCGAGAGAAGAGGGCCCATGCGTGCACAGACTAATGGAGATCCTTTTCTAAAATAAACAAACAAAAATCCAAAAACTCCCAGGGTTGTTTAATAATGGAACTGGAGAGGGAGATGCAGCCTTAGCCCCCACCCCCTGCCAGCGGTGGTGCTCCCTGGGCGATCTTGGGTCAGGCACTCTCTTTTTGCCTGATCTACCTCTTAGGGTCGTCGTTGGGAAGGGGAAATTGAGGCGGAAAAGGGTCAGGTGCGCCACCTAGAGCTCACAGGCGGAAATGCAGGGCAAAGCTCCAACTAACAGAGGGGACAGGAGTAAACAGAGATGGGCTGAGGGTGGGGGGGGCGGCTTTGAGGCACAAAGGTGACAGAAAAGCGGCGCTAGAGGGAGGAGACGGTGCCGTCCTTCCTTTTGTGGCCCCTAAATTGTAACTGACGGACAGGCTGCCTTCTGCAGCCCATGCCTAAGGCACCCTCCCCTCCCCATTTGGTCTTCTGCAGCCCCCTGAGTGTCCTTTTCCCTTCTCCTTCACCTCTCTTAAGTGGTTCGCATGGATTAAAGGTGATTATTTGTGTTAAAGGTCTGGTTGGCCGTTTGCCTGCTCTCTCTCTTGCAGGGAGCAGAATATTGAGCCCTAATCCTAACCCTCTCCCTCCTTGCGCTGCTGGTCATGTTTGGTGCTGGTAACCCACCAGCTGGTGCCCTGTGTGCACGGCCTCACCTTTCCTGACCTGCTGCGTTTTTCCAACTCCTTCCCTTTTCCTGTTTCGAATTGCAAGCCTTTTGGGCTTCGTAGCATAAATGCTTTGAATTGTGGTGTTGGAGGAGGATCTTGAGAGTCCCCTGGACTGCAAGGAGAACAAACTTATCCACTCTGAAGGAAATCAACCCTGGGTGCTCCCTGGAAGGACAGATCCTGAAGCTGAGGCTCCAAGACTTTGGCCATCTGATGAGAAGAGAAGACTCCCTGGAAAAGACGCTGATGTTGGGAAAGTGTGAGGGCAAGAGGAGAAGGGGACGACCGAGGATGAGATGGTTGGACAGGGTCATCGAAGGGCCCAACATGACTTTGACCCAACTCTGGGAGGCAGTGGAAGACAGGAGAGCCTGGTGTGCTCTGGTCCATATGGGGTCACGAAGAGTCAGACACGACTTAACAACTAAACAACAACAGCATAAATGCAGGAAGGCTCTGCAGAAATCCTCTGGAACCATCTCCTATCAGAAATTCGGCTGGCCTCTCTCGATTTTTAAAAAATCAGGAAAGTCTGAATTGTTCAAGGAAGCCATGAAGGACATTCTTCCCCTCAGGTAGTAATGTGACCGAGAGCTTCATCTTTTTTGTACCGTAAAAGATCATCACCATCATTTTGAGTTGGAGTGTTGCTAATTGTTTGGTTCTTCGTTTGTTAGTGATGATTTCCCTGAGTAGAGGATTGTCACTAAGTGGGATTCGTTTGTTCATTCATTCATTCAAGCAATCAGGTAGAGTGGGCTATAGCCCACAAGAGCATCGGCCACAGTGTGTTCATTCTGGAGATGCTGCAGCCTTTTAAGATGGCAGCAGCCCCTCTGGATTGTTACAGTTGTAAGCTTATGGGCTTTGTAGTTCTAGCAGAGAGGAATATATTTAATTGCCTTAATTGCACAATAGAAAGGCTGGCCGTGTTTGGAGTTCAAATTGATTAGCAAGTCCTCAGTAAAAACACGCACCCACAGCGTTTAACCAGCTTAAGTAATTACCCAGACACTGTTTTTTAGGGAAAAAGAAAACAGATCTTTACTCACTGAAACTTGCAAGTTGAAGACACAAGCTTGATTCAAGTTGCAGTAAAATACACAGTAATAAACAGTGATCTTTGCTCACCAAGAGAGCAAGAGGTGTCAGACAAACCACCTACGTAGTGTGTTTTTCAACAAGTGATCCTTCCTCTCCGCTGATCTCACACTGATTTGCATGTTGACTTATTAATTAATTCCAAGATGGTTCTGCCTGTGTTCTGTTTTGCCTTCCTCACAGTGCTGCATTGATGATTATGGGGACATAGTGGAGCTGCTGCTGGACGCCGGGGCCGACGTCAACGCCTGTGACAGTGAGCTCTGGACCCCCCTGCACGCGGCCGCCACCTGCGGGCACCTGCATTTGGTGGAGCTGCTCGTTCAAAAGTAAGGGACAAGCTCAGCTGGCTGTGCCAAGTGCCACTTTCAGGGAAGGACCTCAACGGTGCCAGGTGCCGGACTGGGTCCCACCCCTCCTTGTGCATTTCCAGAGGGGCCTTGGTTGACCATCGTTGGCGAGCAGCATACTGGGCCCTTGGCCTGGTTGGGTAGAACAGGGCAGAGTTTGCCTTGTGACTTGCAGGCAGGGTGCCACTCCCTTCTTCTAACAGCTCCACCGGCTTGCCCGTCTGTGTCTGGGCCCAAGGCACAGAGCTGGTGAAGATCTACAAAGCTCTAAAGGACTTGGGTCCAAGCTATCTGAAAGAGTGGCTATGAAGGTCGCTGGTCTGGGCTGGGGCTTCCCTTGGCCCTGTCACAGGCACATTTAGGGAGGATGCAAGTGAGACTCCTTTAGGGTGATGGCTCCCAACTAGGTTGTGGCCTGCCTTCCTGGGGAGTCCAGGTGGGCCCCCTCCCTCCCTCCCTCCCTCCCTGCTGTCCTTCTGCGGACAGGCAAAGAGCCTTCTTTCTGGGCACAGCTTCAGTGACTGATTCGGACAGCCAAGGAAGCATTTCGATGCGGGATGCTGAACGTTTTACTGCTTTCCCAGACTGTCCTAACACGTTTTAAACTGCTTTTAGATTAGTGGTTATTTAAACTAGTGCCATCTATTGAATTTTTTAAAAGAAAGAATATTACTAATGCTGTTCACCTTGAGTCCCTTTGTTGAGATTAAAATGAGAGAGGAATTATTAGTAATAGGACAACGACCAACAAACTCAATGGGTTTCTGCTGCCTGGGCAAATGGGGGACTTTCCCAAGCTTTTGGCAGGATTGGAAGGGGGTCGGCTCGCAGCCCCCCCCAGCCCAGGCTCTGTGGGCGAACGTCCGGAATGGGTTTCTGCTGCCTGGGCAAATGGGGGACTTTCCCAGGCTTTTGACAGGATTGGAAGGGGGTCGGCTCGCAGCCCCCCCAACCCAGGCTCCGTGGGCGAATGTTCGGTGGGTGGGGGTGCTTGCGATAAAATTCTGTGTCTCCCCACAAAACAGATTCTGTGACGGCCACTTAGGTTATGCAACTAAAGAGCAACTCCCAGTCCCGGAGATCCTTAAGATCCCACGTCCGGCCCCTTGGATGGGAAGGAAGTGGCTCTGCCTCTCCCGGCCCAAATCCAGCAGGTCTGGCGCTGATCCCTGCCAAGGAATAAACCTACAGCTGCTGCTGCCGCCTCTAAATTTTGCAGGGGTGGGGGAGGTGTTCTTCTTCCCATTCATCCCATAGGCCAGGAGTAAGTCTAACCTTACATGTCCTGGAAATGCTTGTAAGAACTGGAAGGTGAAAAGAGGTGGCCACCGGTATTCTGTTTGGGGACCCGAAGGCAGGAGGGCTGTTGGGGTGGACGGAGAGCCCTTTTGAGCCCTCACTTAGAAGGGTGCCGGGCAGCCGACCTGGAAGAGACCTTCCGGGGTCAGAGGGGGAACTCAGGGTGGTGAGATGTGGGAAAAACCATTCTGGGCCAAGATGGCAGCTGAGCAGTGGCTGCGGGTTCCTTTCTTGCAGAAGGCAGCTCCTTCATTTCGCAGGCTGGGAACAGGCGGGCTTCTCCAGGATGTGCCCCCCCCGGCCCCCTGCTCCCACAGACAGTGGGGCTTTGTCTGCCTAGTGCTTCTTACCTCTCAGAATTAAATCAGGGGGAAGGTCAGCGCCCCTTGCTCAGGAAACACCCCACCCCCCCATCTGACATAGGAACAGGACACATTGGCCGACATCCTGTCCCCAGGATCCTTTTGGCCTCTGGCTGGGCAAGGTGCCCCACTTCCCAGACCTCTCCCCATCATTAGCAGGCTCCACACCTCACGCTGAAATTGAGGTCGTTTCCCCTGGCTGTGGTGTAATTGCTTTGGAGGCAGCTTGTAGGGCTGTAAATATTTAACAGGGTTCTATTGTTGGCGGAGTAACTTTATCATTGGGGCTCGTGGCTGCCGGCGGGGATCTCTGGTAAGTAAGATTTCAGCCCTGCCAGAGGGACCGTTTTTTGCTAGCCAACCCAGCATTAATGTATTAAGTAATCAGATTTTGTCCATGAGCTCAAGGCAATGTATGTGGCTGTTTGCTTTCTTTTCACAAGAGCCCTGCGAGGTAGGTCAAACTGAGGATTAGTCCACAGAAACCTTGAGTTGTCTGATCCAATTGAGAAAAAAGCCTTTCTCCGGTGGTGGAGAATTTCCTAGTTCCTCTGCCAGGGTTGTGGCTCCAGCTTGCCCAGTGCCTGGTTTTGGCTTTGATGACTTCCCTTGCCCAGCCAGCCGTCCTTCCGTTGCTGCTGCTGAGCAGAACAAGATTTGGAACAGCATGGGGACCAAGCGGGGGGGTGGGGGGTCTGAAATTGGGAGGAGGAGAAGGTTAGAAGGAGGAGAAGGAGGACTCCCTCTCTTGAAAGCAAGAATTTGGGAGGCCGTGAAGGACGTTCTTACGCGCAGCCGGATCCTAACTGCTGGCACTGACTCAAAGCCCGAAGACCTTGCGATGGCAGGAGGAAAGAATGAACCCGGCATGTGGCCGGCGCTGCTCTCGCAGGCAGCTGAATTAAGGTCATGAAGCTCAAAGGGGCCACCTCCCTTCTGGGGTGGGGGTCCTCATCCTAGGAGAGCCAAGGTGTGCCAGGTGGATCTTGTCCCTGCGTGTGGGTTTTCCTAGGGGACCCATTGGAGATGCTATAATAACCAATTCTGACTTATGGCAACTCTTTCCAGGGTTTGCTAGATGGAGAAAGTAATCAGAAGTGTCTTCTCCATTCCCTTCTTCTGGGGGCATTTCTGAGACTGTGCCACTGGTCCAAAGCCACCCTGGCTGGCTGTTTCCCCAGGAGGCACTGTGGGAGGGAGGGGGGAGAGACAGAATGTGGGGTGTGCTGGGCCTCGGTCTTGACCCACCTAGGTACAGTTCCCAAGGGCCAGTTTCCACGTCAACCCCCATTTCAAGAGGTCTTTGTAGGAAAGAGACACACAATCATTGGGATGAACGTGCAGGCGTAGAGAAGGGAGTGCCTGTGTCTGTGAACCGTCAGCTGCCCACCAGCCCCCCCCCACACCTCTTGCCCTAGGATGGGGAAGATCCTCCAGAAGCCGAGCGGTTCTTCTGCAGCATTCTAGGATTGGCTTCCAGTTTTGGTGATGAATATTTTTATGGGCTATTCTGATTTTTGTTTAGTTTTTAAATTGTCCCAGCATCCTTTTAATTCTGATTGTGAGAACCTTGCAGTAGGGCAGCTTCTACCTGGTGCTAATCAACAAATCTTGGTAGTTCTTAATATTTCATCCTGACTTGCTGTTTCTGTAGTTTGGGGAAAGATGTGTTCACACACGGCCACGCGCACACATGTGTAGTTTGGGGAAAGATGTGTTCACACACAGGCATGCGCACACATGCACATGTGCGCACACATGCACGTGCGCGCGCGCGCGCACACACACACACACACACACACACACACACACACACACACACAGAGTGAGTCTTGTTCTAAAATCAGCTGGTGAACACACACACACACACACACAGAGTCTTGTTCTAAAATCAGCGGGTGAGGTTTGTGAACCAGGGCCTTCTGCTACACAGTTTGAGAAGCTTCCTTTTTCTTTTCTTTTTCTTTCTTAAACTACAACATAAACATGAAATACATAAACCAAAATACAATTCAACTGTGTTCCTCACCAGCCTAGTCGGGCCCTCTTGCGGTAATCCTCTTCTTTATCTTTAGTCTTCTACCTATATTCTCCTCTTCTCCAGAACTGCATTGCTTCTTGATTTGGAGCTTTCCCTTATTTATTTATTTTTCTCTTGGGTAATTGCTTCTTGATTTGGAGCTTTCCCTTTTTATTTTTATTTATTTATTTTTCTCTTGGGTAGACGGGCATCTTACCTTTTCCTCTTGTTAGCACATATTCAAGAAATCTGCCCCATATATCATAGAAATTATTCTTTTTCATCTTCCTCTTGTTAGCACATATTCAAGAAATCTGCCCCATATATCATAGAAATTACTGTATTCTTTTTCATCTTCCCTTTCTTAGCCTTTAAGTTATAAGTTAACGTATCATTTATAGCCATGTTCCGTATTTCATTATACCATTCTTCCGTTTGAAATTCAGACTTTGATTTCCAATTCCTAGCTATTATTAATCTGGCTGCTGTTAATAAATTGACAATCAGTTCTCTAATTTAATCTCGGGATTAAATTCGATATCTTTTTCACATATGTCATTTCATTCTTTAAAGATTAGTTTCCAAAATCTTTGTACTTTTTCACATTCCCACCACCTATGAAAGTATGTACCAATTTCCTTCTCACATTTCCAGCAGACATTCAGATAACTAGCGTTAATTTTATTCAATTTTGTCGGTGTCCAATTCCCTCTTAAGCCCAATTTGGGAAAAAAAATTCTTTTATTCTCACCGACACTTGAGCGCCTTCCTGCGCCGTTGCAGCCTCTCTTATTGGAAGAGGCACCCAGAAGCGGCTTCTTGTGCCGGCTTGAATGAAACCTGCTTGCCTTCACTGAGCTGCTTTCCCTGCCGAGTAGGCTTGAATGAAACCTGCTTGCCTTCACTGAGCTGCTTTCCCTGCCAAGTAAGGTGTGTGTGTGTGGGGAAGGAAACCCAATCTGCTGGGCTCTCAGAGGACTCACTGGTGTGTGTGTGTGTGTGGGGGGGAAGGAAACCCAATCTGCCGGGCTCTCAGAGGACTCACCGTGGGGCCTGTTTTCCAAGAGGAGTTGAACAAAAATAACTCCCTGTATCTGTTACGCCCAGCACCCAGGAGCGTGGGCTGGATCCTGCAGGCAGCTGCAGTTGTGTTCATTGCAGTGGGAAAGGCTGTCATCCGCCCTGCTCACCATTTCTCTCTCTCTCTCTCTTCTTCTTCCAGAGGCGCCAACCTGCTGGCCGTCAACTCGGATGGGAACATGCCGTACGACCTCTGTGAGGATGACGCCACACTGGACTACCTTGAAGCAGCCATGGCCGAGCAGGGTAGGCTTCCTTTTAGAGGTTCCAGGTTCTCCTTCTCCAAAGTCGGTGCCCGCGGCTTGCGATTCCCGGGCGGTTCTTAGCTGGCCCCACCTTTGGAGTGCTTCCCAGAACGATCTCGCCGGATCTCTTGCAGCTCCTCTTCCTCCCAGTTCCGTCCAGGATGCAGAGGGTGGTCATTGCCAGATGGGCATCTTACCCAGGGCCAGCTTGGATTGTGTTTTGTTTCGAAGGACAAGAGCGGAAGAGGTCCATCTCTTTCAGCTGTGCTTCCAGAGTGGCCATCCACCTGCATGCTGGATTTGCGGGAAACAGCCCTCTCACCACCAGCTCCAGCTCACCGAATGGTGTTGGTAGCAGCTGAAAATGTGGAGAGAGAGAAAGAGAGAGAGAGAGAGAGAAGAAAGCTGTCCATCCAGCATTTGAGCAATGTCCAGAGTTGGGTGTTGGGGCCATTCTCATGAAAGCTCAGGTTAAAAGTGGAGGGAGGCACCTTTTTTGTCAATGAATGTGCCTCTTCTTAGAGAGGAGCAAAGCGTTTTGTCTCGGCAGCAAGTCTTGCAGCTTGAATGAAATCTTAACCGGTAGGAAGGAGTTGGCGGCAGGACCCTACACAGACCCTGCCTCCCTTGGCAGGATCCACCACTTATGTACACGCATCCCTCTCCCTGCCTGGCTTTTCCATGAGACGTTTATTCCTTTTGGGTTTTTAAAATACCATTTATACTTCATAATGTCATTTACATTTTAAGGTCATAGAGGTCTCGAAGAGGTAGACTACAGTCTACTTGTTTTCAACAACATGGCCATGATCGTCTTTGCAAGCCTATCCTGTCAAAAGTCAGTTAAAAAAAACAAATGAAAAACAAATGAAATATGAAACAAAAACATTCTTCAAGATGGATTGTTTTGTTTCAGTGTGAGCTTTTGTAGAACGTGGATTTTCACAGGGTATCCTGGTTTCCATGGCTGTTGTGCGCAATTCTCCACTGCAATCGATCTATGCAATCAACATTCCCACTGTTAATTATTTGTGAGAGCAGTGCTCTTGTTGCTTTGCTAATCCATTTCCTGTGCCTATCTTGTATTTACCTGTGGTTAAGCTTCACTTTAATATCTCTGAACCGGTGGATGTATCTATAAAGGTTCACACTGAAATATAACCGTGTTTAAGGTGTCACAACATTGTTTTGCTTTTTATTTCATTTCATGTTTGATAATAGTAACAATAGTAATCACCCTCTTGGAACGGCAGAGCTGGAAGGGACCCCATGGATGACGGGAGTCCACAGCCCCTGACAAGGAGGCCCCTCTGGGGAATCAAATCCCCAACCTCTTGCTCTGCAGCCGGAGACTTATACCACTGAGCTAGGCAGCAGTTCCTTTATCGCCTATATTTATTTTTCTTTGGGTATCCTGCAGTGTACTACAAGACAGGCATAAAAACATTTGACTCCAGCCAAGCAGTGCAGAGGATCCATCACAAAAATGATGTCTTTGAACCTAAAGATCAGCCGTGGTGTTGCCCAGATTTCCTGCCTGCTCATGCCCCACTTTTTCTCCTGCAGCTGACAGCATAACTTGTTCAGTTTTCTTTTGTGTCAATCAGCTGGCACAGCCGCTCCCTGGAAGTGCTGCTCACTGAGTTTTAGAAGCAGACTCTGCATTGACCACTTCTCCCCCCCCCCGACCCCGCGGAGCTGCAGCTGCTGCAGAAGAAGCCTCAGGACAACACCCCCTTCGGTCCCCTTCCATCCCAGAGCTCTGTTTTCGAAAGGAAAAGCAGAGGGAGCTGTGTTGGCCCAGTTCTTCAGTCCTTGTTGTGGTAACCTTTAGGGTGGCCTTTATTAAGCCCACAAAAAGAGCGCAGAAGCAGGCTCAGGCTTCTGAGAGCCTCGGATTGCTAGAAGTCATAAAAAGCAGGCACTGTGGAGGAAGTGGGGGAGACCCGACTTTCCAAGCCATGGATGTTCGTGCCTGTCGCCTTGAAAGGCAGAGAGAACAAGAGATCCAAAGACCCTCTGGGAGGGCTCTTGTCAGGTGAAGCGGGGGGGGGGATTTGATTTCATCCAGAGGCGCCCCTAGAGGTGGCTGTGAGCAGAGGGAGCAGAGATGTTGGATTCTCTGTTTATTAAAATAAAGAAATTCACGGGAAGCTTGGCCATACCTATTAAATATGTGTACAAATATTTAATTGGATGTCATGTGTACATGACAACAAGTGTCAGGAGGTGTCCCTGGAGGCCAAGGCCAGGATCATCCATCACTCTTGTATTTTTGATCACCATGTCTGGGTGTGAAAGCTGAACAATAGAGAAAGCTGACCGGATTTTAAAAAAAGGCTCATTTGTGGAGAGCTTTGTGGATACCCGGGTCGGCCAGAAAGATGAACAACAAGTGGGTCCTACATCAAACAAAACCTGAACCATCTTTGGAGGCAAACAGGATGAAATTGAGGCTATCCTACTTTGGGCACATCAGAAGAAGGCAGGATTCTCTGGAAAAAAAAGCAATCATGTCGGGAAATACTCTGGGATGCTCCCTGTTCACACGGTTCTCTCTCCCCCCGCCCAGGGATAACTCAGGAGACCATCGAGGAGGCCCGCTCAGTGGTGGAGCGCACCATGGTGGAGGACATCCGTCGGCTGGTGAAGGAAGGGGTCAACCTGGATACGCCGCTGGACCACCGGGCCACCCTGGTGAGGGGATGAGCGCTCGTTCGCCTTGCAGCCTGGCTGAGAGATGGCAGGGCTGAAGCAGGGAGGAGGCCAGTGAGCAACTGGCCTCTCCCTTCCTCCCTGCCCTCCTCCGAGGGCCCGACCTTGGCCGCTGAAAAGGGGAGGGCAGGTGGTGTCCGGTTGAGGGTTCCCGGCCCACAGCCAGATGGGTTTGGCCTCTTCCTTCCCAGCCCGGGGTGTGTGTGCCCCTGCCTCGTCTTTCGGAGCAGAGGGGAGCGCCACAGGCCAGGTGGCCTTAAGTGCCTGCCGTGAGTGGGAAGCACGCCCTTGGCCCCATTGTGGAGGCATCCCCTAAAAGTGCCTGCCTTGATGTCATCTGCCTCCGGATGGCGAGTCCGGCCAGGGGTGGCCTTTTGTCATGCTGGCCGAGTCCCCTAGGCTCAGGCTGGCTCTGGAGGCTGGCAAGCTGGCTTGCCCCCTTCCCTGCTTCTCCCCTCACCCTCCTCCCTTCTGCCCCACAGTTGCACATTGCCTCGGCCAACGGCTACCTGGAGGCGGCGGAGCTGCTGCTGGAGCACAAGGCCAGCATGAGCGCCAAGGACAACGATGGCTGGCAGCCTCTCCACGCAGCCGCCTGCTGGGGTCAGGTGAGTGAGCGAGGGTGGGTGGCTGCCCTCCGTCCCCGAAAAAGGAGGAGGAGGAGGAGAAGAGGGGAAAGGGAAGGGGAGGGGGCCTGGGGAAGGGTCAGCCTGGCAGAGTGTCCTCTGGGTGGGGACGCCCCCCTCTTGCAGTCAAGGCGCCTGCGCCCTGCTTCCCCAGAACCCATTTTACTGGGGTAATCTCATTAATCTGAACCTGTCTGGGCCCAGATGGCTCCTATGATCCCCCCGTTAAATTAGATAAGCCGAGGATTTCCCGGCAGAGCCGGCCGTCATGCAGGCCGTTAGTCTGACCATGGGGATGGCGGTCCCAGATGTGGGAGTGCGGCCAGAGAGCCCTGGAGCCCCTTTTCCGAGAGGGAGGTTGCCGGAGCAGAGGCAGGAGCCCAGGCCTGCCACGGGAAGGAAGGAGGGGGGGTTGTTAAAAGTGGCCACGCATAAGAACAAATTCTAGTCTAGAGGAGGGGCGGAAGAGGGCCGCGCTGGAGAGCCCTTCTCTCCCACGAGAGAGGCGCCGTGTGCTGGTGTCTGTGCCGGGTGGCCCGATCGTCTTGCCTGCCCAACTGGATGCTGCCGGGTGGTGAGCAGATCTTTCTGGCCGCTGATCCGCTGGTGGCACGTGTTGGCTAAGGGGTGCCTGGAGGAGGCAGCCGTATCTCATGGGGGTCTCTTGCGGCTTCTTCCAGGATGGTGGAGGAGACCCCCCCGACCCCTTTCTCAGGGAAGGGTCCAGAGGACCTGCAGCCCTTGGAGAAGGAGTGGGCCTTGTGGGCCTTGTCTGGCAAAGGGGTTCACAGGGACCGGCCAGAGAGAGGGTCCCCAGGTTCACTCCTGGCCACAGCTTTGTGGGAAGGGATCCCAGGCCACAGTCCTAGGGGAGAGGTCCTGGGGTGGGGGGGTCGCCTTGTGGAGCCAGGGGAAGATGGGGCAGGGGGCGAGGGCAGGCCTTGAGCGGGCCGTGGGGGCAAGCAGGGACCCCTTTCTGAGGCAGGGCCCAGGGCTCCTGGAGACTGGCGGTCAACGCCTACCCTTTCCGGCACCGCTGTGGGCCAAAACCCGGAGTCGGGAAGCTTTGTTGGACTACAGCGTCCGCCTGGCCTGCGCCGATTGAGGAGTTGCGCTGCCCGGAATTTTCAAGCTCTGCTGAACCCTCAAAAGCCAGAGCCCCGGCTGGTTGGGAGACTTGGGGGAGGTGGTGGTGGTGGTGGTGAGGGGCTTTCCCCCCTCGTGACTGATGGCCCTTTGTCATGCCAGAATAAATTACGCCACCCAGCAAAACCAGGACACCCTGTGATCCCGCAGTTTCCCACCATTTCTGCCAGGTGTGCTTTTTTTCCTTGGGGCAGAATTTGGATTGGATTGGGATTGGGGGTTTTTCCTTGTTTTCTCGGGAACACACAGAGCCCAAGGAGAGCCCCCGGCGCTGGTTGAGGCCAGAGGCCTCTCCAGTCCCACAGAGCGGGCGGCCAGCTGCACGCACACCTGTGGGAAGCCTGCCTGCAGGACAAGAGGGCCGCTCCCCACTGCTCAGGCCATTGGGCAGCCAACATGCACGAGCCCTCCAAAGACACCCTCCCGGCCGTCCCTTGGTGGGGCGCCCCACGCTGTCCTTCCCAGGTGCCTGTCTGGGCCGATGCTGGAGATCTTGCCTGTCCCCCCACCACCACCACCACCACAATCCTCTGCTGAAACCCACGTCCTCTCACTGACAGATCCAGCTGGTGGAGCTGCTGGTGGCCCATGGAGCCGATCTCAACGGGAAGTCTGTGCTGGACGAGACGCCGCTTGGTGAGCAAAAGGGGCCGGCAGAGCCAGGGCGGCGGGCTGCCTGGCAGTTGCAACCCCCCCACGGGCCCCATGGGCAGAAGCAGCAGCATAGGGTTTCCAGCATAGGGAGGGGGGGGGACACCGGGAAGCTCCTTATTCCTGGGGAGACCGTGGCTCTTCCTTGCTCTTGCCAAGAGAGAAGGTCTGGTCCTGGTCCTTCCCGTGCTCACTGCTGCACCCAGTTTTGTGTTTGATGGGAAGTACCTTTACAAAGGGAAGCCAGCCTTGCTTTTGGGCCCTCCTCGGTGCCCCATGGACAGGCGTGCCAGGGCAGAAGATTAGGCAGGATTCTTGCCACTCAAGATTTCCTGCATGGCTTGTCATTTCTGGCCCTTCCCCACTGAGTTCCCATGGCTGAGGGGGCCCTGAACCCAGGCCTCCTGAGTCCTCTTAGTCCTTCACGCTATCCATTGCACCCTGCTGGGATTCCCAGGAGAGGCTGCAGAAATCTGATTTGCTTTGAGCCGCAGGGAGCAAATGGGTAAGGCGGCCTCTGTGCCTCTCTCAAACAGCGCGCAGCGTTCTCCGGGAGGGCACAGCGAGAGCCCCTTGGGCCACCTTCCTGTCCCACATTCGTTGGGGACCCAAGAGGCAGGAGGTGGCTGGCAGGCTGTGGGTGGGGGGGGAGGGAAGAAGGACGTTGCCAGTCCGGTTCTCCTCTGGTCCTTGGAAGGAGGACTGACGCTGTCGCCCCTCGTGCCCCCTCTCTTTGCCAGACGTGTGCGCGGATGAGGAAGTGCGGGCCAAGCTCCTGGAGCTGAAGCACAAACACGATGCCATCATGAAATCCCATGACAAACAGAAGTCTCTGCTCCAGCGCCGCACTTCCAGTGCGGGCAGCCGGGGGTAAGATGCTGCGCCGGCCGGCAAGGATTACCTGTTGAGGTGGGCAGGCTTGGAAAGGAGGGGGAGTCGGGGAAGACCCACCCGAGTATTGGGTGTCGCTCTTTGCGCTCTGCCCGGTCTGTGATCCTGGGTGTGGGGAAGACCCTTCCTTTGCCCTCTGGTCCTGCCCAGCTTTTCAGATCCTTTGCAGGCGAGGGGGGGGGAGCGGAAGGGGAGGAGAGGCCGTCCCCCTTCCCCTCTCACCCCTTCTGCCGGCAGCTGATGACTTGAGGAAGGGGCTTTCAGTTTATTGGTCCTGGGTCCCTGGTGTTTTTTTAAGCAAGCCCGAGGGGTTAGTGATTGTTTTGCTCCGTAATGTTTTAATGGTCTAGATGGCTGAATAATTTGGTTCTGTAAGATAATCCGTGTACGTTTTTATCCAATATCAGCTCTAGTCTGTTTTCGTTTGTAGCTGTCTTGATTTTGTAGGAACCCCTACAAAAGTTTAGGAGAATGGTGGCGGATCAGTGGCCTGGATCAGTCAAAATGCATCAGTGCTGCTTCTTCCGTTGTGCTTGATTGAGCCTATCAGCACCCCATGTCTCTGCTTTCTTTTCTCTCTCCCCCCCCGCCCCCGCCCCCCTGCTCAGGAAAGTGGTGAGGCGGGTCAGCGTGACGGAGCGCACCAACCTCTATCGCAAGGAGCACGAGAAGGAGGCCATTGTCTGGCAGCAACAGTCGCGGGAGAGCGAGGGAGAGATGGAGGATGAGGACAGGCAGACGGATGCAGAGCTCCAGCCACGCGTTTCGGTGAGTTGGAGCTGACCCCCCAGTTCTACAGCTAAATTGCACGCATTTCCGTATATATAAGAGGGAGGGAGGGGGAGAGAGAAAATCAACCTCTCCACCTTTTGCTGACCACTCCGTGGGCTGTGCTCTAGCGGCACGTCTTCAGAATAGATCTGATTTTCTTTAGCTTTGGCAAAAACACACTGGAATGCCCTCAAAAATCAAAGCGAGTTTGCCTTCCCTACATCAAAGCTTCCGGGCCAGTTTAAATGGCGCTCTTGAAAACTCACCTTCTGATCAGATATCCAAACGAAAGCCTTTCCCCCACTTTTGGAAGACAAGCAGAAGGAAAGCATGCCGGGAAAGGATGCAGCCCAGAAAAGCTGGCTTTGAAAGATGGGTAGGGAGTGCTTGGCCCGCCCTCCAAGCCCCCTTTCTCTCTGCCCGTGACTGTCTGGGCTGGCAGGAGGCAGTCCTGACGGAGCAGCGCCTTGCAGACGGGCAGGTGAGGGCTGGGGAGGAAGGGAGCTGAAGGTTGTTGTGGGTTTTTCAGGCTCCTTGGCCGTAACGTTTCACCAGTCTCTGTGGCCATGGGCATCTTCAGAGGACAGCACTCTGAACCTTGCTGACCCTTGGTTGGGGGGGGTGAGGCCAGAGGGCTTGCAGCCAGCTGCCCGAGTACGACTGGAGGGGGAGCAGGGTCCTCTGGTTCAATTTGCCCCCCCCCCCGTTTGTTTCCCAACAGAACCATGAGCCTGAAGCGGCTGAGCCCGGGGAGCCGCTCAGCGAGCGCAACGGCACGGCCCACCCCCGGGGGCACCTCTACGCCCGGCGGCTGGACCGCAGCGCCTCCTACCAGATGGCCACGCAGGACGAAGGGGCGGCTGGCCTGAGCCAGGAGAAGGCCCGCCACACCCTGGCGGACCTGAAGCGCCAGCGTGCGGCGGCCAAGCTGCAGAGACCCCACTCGGAGGACTTCCCACCAACCAGCCTTGGCGAGGCTCCCCTGGCCGACTCGGAGAGCAACTCTGTGTATTTTACGGCTGCCAGCGGGGATCCTCCGCTCCTCAAGCTGACCGCTCCGGCTGAGGAGACCCCGGCCGAGAAGAAGCGCTGCTGTAAGCTCATGTGAGCGGGGGGTGGGGGTGGGGGTGGCCCTCCTCCTTCTCCTCCTCTCTGACACAGGCCTTGCACCCCCAGCTGACTGCGATGCCAGGGCCCGAGGGGCAGAGAAAGCGGCCACTGCATGAGATGCCGCTCGAGTTCAGAGCAAAACACACGCGTTCACCTCCAGGCCCTTCCTTGCCGACACCGAGAGGTGGCACGCCAAGCTGTGACTTCCCCCTCCTGCTGTTTTCTAGAACTCGGCCGTGCCTTTTGGGAACTGTAGTCCTCTGAGGTCCCTTTTCTCTGCACTAGGAGGCCGTGGTTGTTGGTCAGTGGAGAGGCTTCACTGGTTCCAAGGCCAGTTGGGGAGTGGGTGGGTTGGGAAAGTTGTCCCTGGGTGGGCTTCAGAAATCTCAGGGAAGGGGGACCCAGCAGCCCAACTGCCCTGGGTTCTGGGCGGCCCCGGTCTGGGGCTCAGCATTTGCACTAGCACCGATCCCAGGGCACAAGTCCAGGCGGAGGGGAGAAGGTGTGAACGGAGGCCTGTTGGTGGGGTGTGCCCCTGTCCCGGAGGGCTTCCCTCCCCTTTGCACAGTCGCCCTCAGAGAGCAGGGAGGTGCCTGTCGGGGGGCTCCCGCTGGGAAACACCTGGAGGCCCCCTCCCCAAAGGGCCAAGTGCCCCAAGTCACCTTCTGCACCTCCCGGTCTTCCCCTGCATCAGAGGCAGAGGAGGCCTGGCCGGGAAGACTTGTCTGCTTGGAGGGGGACAGGAGTTCCTTGGCACCGCGGTGGCTTCAGAGGAGCACCGGGCGGTGAGTGGGCTGCATCGCTGAGAAGGTTGAAGCAAAGCAAAGGAAGAATCCGGCGGTCTGCCAGTTAGGACGGGCAGCCCACGTTGTGGTGGTAGCTCCTCCGTGCCCGTTGCTCCCTGGGGGATTCTGGGAGCTGTCGTCCAAGGAAAGAAACTGGCCCACCTCCGGAGAGTTTCCCTCGTCCTCCGGAAGCCCACACGCGTGCGCCAGTGTGGATGCCTGTGGACCAAGGGGGAGTGTCAGCTAGCCGCACCACGAAGAGGAGGAGAAGCCCTTTCTCTGTCTCCGTGCCATGCTTGGGGCTGCCCTCCCAGGACGTGGCCTGGCCCTGGACTTTGGCCGTGTGGCGTTTGGGGGCTCTGCTCTGGGACGCCGGCTTTCTGGCTCTGGCGCTGCTGCTTGGCTCTCAGGCAAGCACCCCCCTGCCCCCCCCGGGGAGACTGACTGGCGCCGTTTGGGGCCTTCTGCCACGGGTGTGGAAGGGGTTTTGTACCAAGCACTCCGGGTTGGACCACGGCTCGTGGCCTTGGGAGGCACTGCCGGCTTCCTTAAACCAATCAAGTTCCTTCTCCCCCGCGCCCCCGCCCTGCTTGGTCTTTCTCTCCAGCGTTTTTTGCAGGCTCTGAATTTTCTATTCTCTTTTGCATAATCTTTTCTTAAAATTTTGACAGTGTTTTTTTTTCTAAGTCCTTGTTATTTTTAATCTGATATTTTTTTCTTGTCATGGTATGATGCAATAAAATAATGACTTGTCGCTTTAGGCTTCCTTTTCTGTCCTTCGAGGAGACCCCACGCGCACACCAAAGGACAGGTGTTGGAAATCCCACTTTGTCCGCCGAGCAACACATTCTGTTTTCTCCAATCACCTGTCCAAAATTAAGGCACCAACTAAGGAGGTCGCAGGACTCCTGGGAGCAGCTCGGGTTTGCTGATGGACTTTTCCTGGCCCCTTCCGTTCACGCCTCAGGTGCAAAGAAGGCCACCATCCCATCCCCGCGTGTCTCAGCTCTGCCAGTTGGGCTTCTCCCCAGGACCCCGAAGCACCAAAACGCTCCCCTGTCCATGAAAGAAACGGGAAGACGGAGCCTTCTTTCCTCCCAGGTAGAGGGAGGGCAGCCCTTTTCCCTTGCCCCTGGAATGGCCAGGGGGTGGCGCTCTCTCCCTCCTGCCTTCCCTTCAGAAGGGACGGGGTCCTGGAGCTGAGTTCACCAAGGACAGGCCTTTGTTCTCCTTTCGGCTGGTCAGTCCTTGGAGGACGGAGTCTCCCCTGTTGATTCCTCTAAGCAGGGGTTGGGAAAGCAGACCCCGTGAGCCACTCTGACTCCCTCTCCCCCACCACCGCAGACACCGGACTCCAGTTTTCTTTTTTTGTTTTGGGGGGGAGGACAAAACAAAAAAAACCCCTGGGTTTAAAACATGCCAGCCTCTGAGACTGGAGAGGTCTTAAAAATTCCAGCTTCTCCTCTGAAAACACGGCCAAGTTGCCTCCCCCCCACAGCTCTCCCCACCAACACCAACTGGCCAAGAAGGATTTTAAAGTGAGATTGTTTTAAAGGGGGGATCTTTAAAGGGGGGGGGGTGAAGCAGTGGCCAACTGGGGAGAGCCGTGTTTTAGGCCCCTGAAAGTTGCCCAAGCCTCTGCTAAGCAGAAAAGGGTGGTGGGCTCAACCCGTCTCCCCCCTAAGTCCCCCTTTCAGCGGCTGGATGTTCCCTTTCCTGGCAGAGGGCCATTGATGCCCTGTGGCGTGGCGCAGGCACCAGGCAGGACCCCCGGACCATCCTGGGGACCTGTCCCTTCTTGGAACAGCAGGCAGCGGAGCCTTCCGAGGGCAGAACGGCTGAGTGGGAGGGGAAACAATCCCCAAGATGACATTCTCCTGGGCGCTTCCATCCAGGCCCGGAGTGGGAGAGGTTCTCCTCCAGTCCAGCTTGTGAGTCTGCAAAGCTCAGCTGCCTCTGCTCTCCCTGGCAGGGGTTGCATGGAGTGTCGGAGACCAAGAGAGAGAGAGAGGTTTTCCTTCTTCCTGAGATGCTTTCCGTGAGACACAGAGTCCCCTGCTGGGTGCGGAAGCCAGCTCTCTGCCATCCAGTCCATTGGGCTTGCTCTTGCTCTTCGGCTGCTGTGTCTGACATACTGGAAGAAGGACCTTCTCGGGGTGTGTGCTGGGCAGGGAGAGAAACCAGGGGAGGGCAACAAGGAGGTTCAGGAGACTGGAAACCAAGCCCTTTGAGGAAAGACTGAAAGAACTGGGCATGTTTAGCCTTGAAGAAAGAAGGCTGAGGGGTGCCAGGATAGCACTTTTCAAAGACTTGAAAGGTTGTCCTTCAGAGGAGGGGCAGGATCTGGTCTCCATCATCCCAGAGTGCAGGAAATGCAACCATGGGTTCAAGGTAAAGGAAGCCAGATTTCAGCTGAATATCCGGAGATATGTCCTAAGTGTTAGAGCAGTACGAAAAGGGGGCCCATGACCTCAAGGGGAGGTGGTGAGCAGGGCTCCAACGCTGGAGGCCTTCAAGAGAAAATGGGACCTCCATTGGTCAGACCTTTGGTTTGGATTCCTGCCTTATCGGCCCCTTCCAGCTCCATGATTTGATGATGCTGTGGTGCTGTGACCCCAGTGGGGTTGGGTGGAGTGGAAGACATGAGCTAGCCTCCATGTGCTGGCTGCTGCTGGAGCTGAAGGAGGCTCACAAGTGGAGAGAAGGGAACCCTGCTCAGCTAATCCAGCCTTCCCCAGGTGGCTCCTCTCCAGACCTGTTGAACTGCAAATCCCAGAATCCCCACCTGCCTCCGTTTTTGGAGAAAGCTCAGCCAGACCAGAGCCTGCCACCATCTGCGGGGTCAAACGAGTGGCAAGTGGGAAGGGGCTGGTCAAGCTGGGAGAGGTCCAGAGGAGGGGGTGGCCAAGGTGGAAGAAGAAGGTCTGGCAAGCAAGCTCTCCCACCAAGAGGGGAAGGAGGGGGTTGCTGGTGTATGTTTTGCCCAGGACAGGTGGGGATCATGGGCAGAATGGAGAGGGGATCGAATAGCCCTCTTCCCATCCCTGAAGAGCCGCCGTCCTTGGAGTGGAGAACGCTTGGCTTCAGCCGCTCCGGGGGCTGTTCGTTGTTTGGCAGGACAGAGGCAGCTGGGAGGCAATCACGGCTTTTCTCTCCGCAAAAGGGCTTTTTTATGATGCGCTTGCCAGCCTTGCGTAGGGATAGGGTTGTTGCACCACTCCAGGAGCTGGATCCCACGGAAGGCCCCAATCCCTCGAGTTTCCCTTGCTCGTTGGTTTGTTGTTGGCTTTGATTTATCCGAAGAGTGGTTTGTCCCGAACCTTCCCTTTTGCCTTGCAGAAGCTGACCTGCCTCAAAACACAGACGTGATTCTGCGCTTTCCATGCCGCTTCGGTGTCTTCCTTCTGCCCCATCCGCTGGCACCCTGCCCCAGGATCCGCCACGGCCCTATAGCCCTTCCTCCTGGAAGGGACCTCCTGCTCCGGCTCTGGCGTCTGGCCTTGGCTCACTTTCTCCCCTCCTGTCCCCATCCTGACCTTGAAAACCTCTGCCGGGAGGGGGGCCAGCGCTTTTGCGAGGCGCCTGAGACCCCCCCCCCCCGAGAGTCCAGTTTCAGGTCTTGGCTTCCCCACGAGGGGCAGAGAAGGGATGGCCAGAGCTGCGCCCCAGCTCTCTGTGGGTCGGAGGGGAGGATGTGGGACGGCCCCGAGGCGGGCGGGTGGGCCTCTGGTCAAGAAGAGCTGTTCTCCTCATGGGCTGGGGAATCCTCCTGCCCACCAGAAGCAGCCTTGACCGGCACGGCTTGTTCAGGCTGGCATGCTCCCCCCTGCACAGGCCGTTCCTTCTGAGGCATGTGGGCACACACAGGAGCCACCGCCAAGCGTTGCCTTGGGGAGAGGCCGCTTCCAGGCGCCTGGCCTCCCCCGTGCTGCGGCGTGGGTGAGGTGGGGCCCAGGAGAGGAGCCCTGACCGTTGGAGGCGAGGGCACAGGCCTCCTCCTGGCCATGAAGGGACCTGGCTAGCCTTCCCTGTGAATTCTCTTCCGAGTCAGGCCGTCAGCGTCTGCCACCCCCTCCCTCGACCTGTGCTCTGGCCATAATAACCCCTGTGACCCTTTCAGCAGAGATGCCACCTCTGGCTGGAGAGGCCTGCCAAGCTGTGCCCTTTCCATCTGGATTTATTCATCTGGCCCAGACTTCTCTTGCCCCCCCAAGGCCGATCCCTGCAAGACACGACAATGGGACTGCATCTGCGGCCAGGGCCTCCCCCCCCCGTACTTAGCAAAGCATGCGTGCTCCCATCCCACACCTATGCAGGGCACCGGGTGAGGAGAAGGCTGGATCCGCAGACATGCCTCCCACCTGGCTTTAGAACCGCCTTTTCTCCAGGCTGGGGTTCAAACTCCAAGCCCCCCACGAACTCAGCCTCCTGCAAACATGAAGCCTGGAAAAGGACTAAATACGAACAGCGCACAAGCGAACACGACAGGCACGAACGTAACACGATAAAAAAACAAGCCAGAAGAAGACGGAGCCGCTCACCTTCGTGAACAGCCCTGTTTCAAATCGCCCAGGAGAGCAGAGCAAGGGCGCCCGAGGCGTTGCCCCTCGGAAGTCGGCGAAACAGGGCGGGATGCTCTGCAGCCTCCCTCTCGTGGCTTGTGTGGCCGAAGCGGATCAGACGGGCATGGGGCATCCGGCGAGGGAGCTGGGGAAGAAAGCAGCCAGCCCTCAAAGCACCTGGCGGCCAAGCCCTGCTGCCCTTGAAAGGGTTAAAAAAACCCCACATGACTTGGATTTGTGGTTGGGAAGGAATGGCTAATGAGTGTCAATCAAAGAAGACAGGGGTGGGATGTCCTCCAGACAACAACCTGTTGGGAGCGTTTTGTGTACATCAGCTGAAGTTTCCAAGGGCTGTTATAAGGGGAGCCCCGCAATAAATGGGCTGCAGCAGTCTATCAGGGAGGACAGGGGAGCACGGTTGATTGTGGCCAGTTCTCATTCAATTAGATAATGTTGTGGGGAGTGTTTCAGGCCAGGCTGGCCAAAGGTGGCTTGACCACCTGCAAACGGAATGGGCGCTTCTGGGCCAAGGAGCACCTTTAAGCCTGAACCTTGACTTTTCGGTGGGGGGGCAGCCCGCCCGAAGCCATGCGGTGCATGCAATCCCAAATCTGGCAGCCCGCTTTCTCCCGACTGAACAACACCTTCTAGCCCATCTGGTCCTTCAAGCTGAGAAACAGGATTTTCATCGTGTCGCCACAATGGAAGGTCACAGGGAAAGATTGCCGGGTGTCATCGGCACAGAGGGCTCCGTGGCTGCACATGCCGGGTGACGTCACCCGGTGTTTCATCAGGGACATTGGGAGGAAGTGGTCCGCCACCCAGGCGGGAAAAGCAGCCCCTTCGCTGAGTAGAGCCGCTCCCTCCCTCGAGAGGGCACCTCCCATGCCTGATCTGCTGCAGGCAGGCAGGATGCTGTGCCTGCGGGTGCTCAGCGCTGCATGGAGGATCTGGGAGGATCTGCAAGATCGCCCTCCCGGCTTTTGGGGCAAGGCTTTCAAGAAGGGAATCCTGAGCGGTCTCAGTCCTGAAATCCAGAACCCGGCGGAGGAGAGTTCAGCCCAGGGGTTTTCATTCCAGAACGCGGGGTTTTGCCCAGAGAGGGCAGGATGGGTCCCGGGCAGGAGCATTTGAAAGGAGAGGGAAGGAAAAGTGAGCTTTTCTTTCTTTCTCCATAGAATGAAAGAAAGTG